ATAGATAGATAGATGAAGAGAGAGAGAGAAAGAGAGAGAGAGAGAGAGAGAGAGAGAGAGAGAAAGAGAGAGAGAGAGAGAGGGAGAGAGAGAGAGAATTCAAAGACCTGTCATTGTCGTCAGCAGACATCCACAACACCTCTTGTTCGTAATTAATATGTCAGCCGGAAGAGTTTTCCTGAGATTGACGTCACTGAACACGAGAAAGTTTAATTAGGCAGTTATATCTTTACTTTTTACCCCCATTTTTCTCCAAACCCCCAACCCTTTCAAAACCATTGTCTCTTTGTACACCGTCCATACAGTATTGACATTTAAAAGAGATGCAGCACCTGAAAAATGTGGCAAAAATGACTGTCCGGATTTTAAGAGAAATGTTAGCAATCCTTCCATTGATCTGAATAGCGGACAAAGCAATGTACGTTCTATTGTTTCCCCTCGAGTGTGAAACCAACAGAGAGCGTTGTAATGGGTAATCACCGGGGATTACCGAATACATGAATTCTATTCCTATTTGGGTAAATAAATAATGTCTCTAACTCACGCGTCCATGTTTCTTTTGTATCTTCCTAGTGTTTGCCATTTGGTGCTCACAGTGCACGCCCACAGACCCTGCATGTCGTAGCGGGTACGTCCAGCCACAGCAATGCCCCGAGAACAAGACCCTGTGCTACACCTACAACCTTTACATCATCCAGGGTGGAGGTAAGTCCTTTCCACTTCCATTTTAACGACTGCTCTCTGGTCAAACAGACCCTATTAGATTGAATGCGGTAATGGTGCTGACCAGTGCTCACCATATCACACTTTTTTGCTTCATCCGATTTGACCCGAAAGTCCACAAGGGCCATGTTTCTCTTGTACCTTCCTAGTGTTTGCCATTTGGTGCTCACATTCCGGGCGTTAACAAAAGATCTGACCCTGCAACGTCATGTGAACACGCACTAGTCGTCTGATTGGCTGCTGGCAATGATTTTCAACAAAATTTGCTCCTCCAAGAAGGGAATTTTGACCCTTTTAAGTGTATCACACCTTTTTAAAAAGGGATTTGACCATGCCTTCTGTTGTGGGCACTGAGTATCAGGCAACTAGACCAAAAGCCAACTCACTCCAGCTGAAATGTATGAGATACACGATACCTAAATGTATTTTTTATTAGTGTATTTTCAGTCATTTATGCTTTAAAATTTTTTAATTTTTTTTTATAGTAGAGTGTTTTACGGCGCTCGCAACTGCATAGGTCATATGAGCGCGCGGGACACACCTAATATTTTCAGTTGGTAGGAAATTTTGAATTTTGCCCGGGTGGCGGCCGAAGCCTACTCTTATCGATTTTAGACCACCAAGGGATCTTTAACGTGCGCAACTTGCACACGGGCCCTCCGAGATTTTTTCGCCCTTGTCCGAGAAGGCTAGGTGTAGATCTTTCCTACCAGAAGATCAGGGGTGTGGCTGAAAGACTGCAGTAAGAAGAAGCGAAGGAGTAGCAGTAGAAAGGCTACAGAAAGAATCAGGAGCCCAGAGGAAGGGGCAAAGGAGGTGACGGGGTGAGGGCAGAAAGTGGAGACGAAAGCAAACGACAGAACATTGCTAGAGAGCAGGAAATGAGGTGAAAGGAGACAAATTTAGAGAAGAAAATTTTTCGGTCGCTACCCGGATTCGAACCCGGGACCTTTTGAGTGAGAGGCCAACACCTTAACCTCTAGGCCACGAGAGCCCCCCATTTATGCTTGAAGGTAACGTATAACTTTATCTGTGTTATATTTAAAAGAACAAAAAATTATGTCCAGCTGAGTTCTAAAGTCTCAGGAGAGTAGAAAAGCGTTAGGCGTTTATATTCCTCGTATACCAGCTGGGACTAACCAAGAATATAATACTGGACAGTCACAAAATTTAGAAAATGGACGGAGGACTGTAACTAAATTTGGCATTTTTTGGCGTTGTATGGACTGCGGTGGGAGACACCGACTTTACCGTCTTTGTATTCGGTGATTTTTTCTCTAGTTTGGTCAGAGTTTAACGGCGCTCGCATCATCCGTTTACATGATCTTACAGTGTTCATAGGGCTGTTAAACTCATAGCACAGCAAACACTAGCATAGTATAGTATAGCATAGCATAGCATAGTATAGCATAGCATAGCATAGCATAGCATAGCATAGCACAGCATGACTTGGTCACAAAGTAAACCGTTGTGTCACCTAACAACCGATGTGTGTCCCCAGGCCAGGGCACGTACCGGGGCTGTGCCGCTGCTGTGAGTCGGGCCTCACAAGGCTGCCATGACGTCACGATCCTGTCCCGGGAGGCCGTGGGCTGCACCTACCTGTGCGACTGGAACAACTGCAACTCCAGCTACGGCGACGGCCAGGAGAGGACCAACCTGCTCCAGAGACGGCGGCGAAGGTCTAGGAGGTCAAGGCTCACGGACGTTCTTCTGACCGGAAGGTCGAGTTGAAACCGGAGACGCACGCGGCAAATATTTATTGAACTGACTGTTGTAGGGCGTGCAGGGGGATATTGCTGGTGTGCACTGGCTTGGCGACGGTTTGGACTTGTTCTTGTACGCTTACACACACGTGCAGCATACACACATACAAACAGACATATTCACTAACACACAAACAAAATCACAAGAAGATACACACAAAAAACATACGACAAGGGCACACGCACAGACATGCACATACACTAGTTTTAGGACAATGCAAAGTTGATATGTTGCGTATTATGTAGTCATGCGTGAGAACGTTTAAATTGCAACCTTTTCATAATTAGGTTACTAGTACTCAAAACCTCTATCTGGAGGCTTATGTTTAACGAACCGTTTTTTCATTTTTTTTCTCGAGAATTGCTTTACAAGATTCTAAAATGATAGCTACTCTTACTAATTATTAGAAAAACTCCTAACACTTGTGCTCTAAGACGTATACAAAGAGCACACGCCAAAGTGTGTTTACGTGTATTTATGTGTGTGTGTGTGTGTGTGTGTGTGTGTGTGTGTGTGTGTGTGTGTGTGTGTGAGTGTGTTTGTGTGTGTATGTGCGTATGCGCATATGTATGCGCTACAAAACCTAAGCTCAAAGATTCTAAATATTCTATGATCTATAATTTGCTCCTGCACTCATCTACCGCCTCCCTACTACAGTCAGTATACAAGCTCCACACAAACCCTCTACAAAGGACATCTGGCACAAATCGTAGCAGAACCAGCAGAACGTGGAAGCTCTTTGCTTTCTTGTTTTCTTCATCTTGTCATCCTAGTAATTTCCCATTTGAATGTGCATTCGCTTTTGTTAAACTGTTTTGTTGAAGTTTCCGCTGCAGACTTCATGTACACAAAAGATCGCACGGCTGTGAATCTGTTCAATGTCAGTTGTTTACACAGAAAGATATTCTCTTGGAATACGTAAAAATTGCTGTATTTCCAACAAAAAACAACAACAAACAAACAGAAAGTTGAAGGGAACAAGTTATAATTACAAGAATTTTCAATCTTGCTCCCCCTCCCTTTTTAGAAGAAGAAAAATGAGATTCTTAACCTCTAGGAACCATCAGTATCCTCCCCTCCCCCTTCTCCAGCCCTATGACTCCCCGCACCCCAAACCCATTCTGAAAGTAATATATTATATTCCTCGACCATTTCATGTTTCCTTTTATGTATGCAGTGTGGTGGCGTCTTGTACTGTCTTGTGATCTTTACAGTATTGCACTGCCATCTGCTAATTTTCAAATGATATTATTGGAGTTCAAGTTTCTTTGTCTGTCTCATTCAGCTGTTTGTTCTGTGCTTCACTTTGGGTAAATCTTTGCTTTCAGATCAAAGGCGTGGTTTCCATAAAATGGCTGTAGTATAGATCTACTTGAGGTCTCAATTCTTAAAAATAAGTTAAAAACGTCTTTCGGATTTGATGTCATGGCTACCACCCCCCTCCCCTCCCCGCGAACCGCGTTGGTCCTATTGAGAGTGGAACACCAGAGTATGCCAAATAAATACCGATTTGAGAGAGACTCCATGAAGACCCCTTTCTCCATTATCACGTGATTTTCGCAGAAAGTCTGTTCTGACTTCTCTCTCATATTGACATTGAGTACGGTTTCTGGTATTTTATTGCATGCTTTGGTTGCCATGACTTAACAACAAAATGTAGTATACAAGTGTATTGCAGTAAGTCCCCCCCCTTTTCATGTTGGAATGCTATGCGAAAGATTCTTGTTAGAATTCCTAACCAGGCTTCCTTCTTGTTTCGAGAGTATTCATGGCTATCCGCCCAAATGAATGGGCTATATTGGAGATTGACGTTAAGTCGGAGACCTCCTCTTCTGAAATAACCCTGCTGTGCGTACACGGGTTTTGAACCAGCATAACACAGTGTTTTCATCCACGAAACGAATGCCTGATACTTGAGAGTTTTGGTTTCGAAATAATTGGAAAAATGTAGCGTCATATCACAATTTTTTTCTAACCCAAGCCGGTGTGAAAATACGTTTCCATTCGTAAACGAGCCCTAAAGTCAAACCTCATTGTAAACCCTCTGAGCGAAAACTTTCAAATGGCGTTGGAAAGTGAACATAACCGAGCAAACCATTACACTTGAACCTTGACTACACAAAAGAAAAATGGTCTATACTTGAGAACGCTCACACAAATACTGATGTTTATATTTTTGATTCATTATTTATTTATTGATCGCTTACCCGTTCTTAGGTAATGTTTACAGTGTGTTACTCTTTGTTTTGGTTAGACTACAAATACCATATTTGACGATGCTCGATGGGCAAATATTGTTTTAGCTCTGTTACTCAGTAGTTGACAGCAGATAGAGCCCTATATTGTGTTATTAATTTCAGACAAGCCTTACACCCAATCATTTTCACTCCATTCCATGTTCCCTCATATGATTTCACGAACAAAACGACCCTGAATCAGGTGACAAAAATAACGTACCCCCTCCTCCCCCCCTTCCCCACGGCCTCCACGCAAACGACATGTCTCATAATGTTGCGCAATAGGTTAATTAGTTGGAGGGTGGGGGTTGTACTTTGGTTTTACTTATCAAGTAACTTGCTTTCTACAGAGAGACATTTCCGTCATAAATATTGGTCAACATTGAGTTGGCTCGCTGTCAAATTTAAAGTTAATAAGTTCTGTAATGAGATAACAACTGAACACACGGGAACTCTATCTTCATTTCAGTATTTACAGTAAGTCCCAACTGATATAACTCAGCACTGAGTTCCCTACTGAAAATCATAACTTTGTTATGAGCCTGGCTTGAAAAAATTGGCACACCAATTTGCGAAGGCAGATAGGTTAGACCTCTCGGAAGGGAACAGAATCAAATCTATCATATAATTAATCAGAGGAATCTTTGAAGAGGTAGTGTTCAAAGTTAGCTTGCTTTTGAGTAAGGTCGTTTTCGGTCACTGTCGCAAACGTTGCTTTCAAATGAAGACGGAATGTTCTCTCACAAAGTTATTATTTTTCAAAAAAATTGCTTTGGGATCCGATCGAAAAATTAAAATTGTTGAAATATAAGACACTCGATCACTTCATACTCATCAGAGCCCATAATTTGTTCGCAAAAAATAATGATGAACTCAATGAACTACCATTTATTTAGGAAACTCCCTTGAACTTGTCAAAAATGGGGTGAATATTAATGCCATGCCATCCAAATGTTAAAGCCCACAAGCGAAGCTCGTGGGTACGTTAGTGGACTGATTGACACAGAGAAAGAAATGGTCGGAAACATAACAGATAAGTAAAGATATTCACAGCGATTTTGAATAAATAGAATCCATCAGTGGTGCCCATTTGGCATTCACTCAGCATCATCATTTCACTTTTATAATGTTTATTTGCAAACACTGATGGAATTATGCTTATCAAGCTTTGATTCAACTGATTCTGGTGTTTCTATTTTGCCATAATGCCTAGCCTATTTTCTTTCTCTGCTTTCAAGCGTCGATGTATTGTAAACTACTTTCACTCGCTATTAATGTTTGAGAAAGTATTCACTTGAAGTGTGATGCGCACTATAGTGCATGTTGCTTAAAGTAGTTGACGACATTGACAGGTCGAAATGACAATTAAATTATTCTGCCGATAATGTCAATGATGCAGTTAAAACATTTATAATTCTTTTGACGCGTGTCGATGTGTTTCGCAGACATTTTATTTCAGGCACAAGTCATGAGCTGTTTTCTTTATGTCGATGTCACAATAAAAGCAGAGAAGTGATTTCATGTGAGTTATCTTTTTATTTCATCAATGTAGGTGTTTTACGCCACCATCGACACAATTTAAAGTATTTACGAGTCGGGTTTTGACCTCTCTGCCAGGACCAATACGGACCTAGAGGGATACAACGTCACAGTACAATGGAGATACTCGATTTTTTTTTTTAAATCGCCGCAGACGGGAAGCGAACTCAAGTCTTCTGCATGGGACCACAAAACGCTAATCGCTGCAGCATTGACGCCGATTTACTTCTGAGCATATTTCTGTTATAAAAAACCCCTACAAAAACAGCATGCCGTTAAATAAAACATCACAAAAGTTTCCCACTCACGAAGTACCGAACGTGAATGATAATAATAATAAAAATAACAATAATAATGATGATGATGATGATGATGATGATGATGATGATGATGATGATGATGATGATGATGATGATGATGATGATGATGATACTCGTGCACCTAAATATACTCTAACACACACACACACACACACACACACACACACACACACACACACACACACACACACACACACACACAAGACAGACAGACAGACAGACAGACAGACAGACAGACAGACAGACAGACAGACAGACAGACAGACAGACAGACAGACAGAAAGACAGACAGACAGACATGGCATGCACGCTCGAGGAAATGTGGAGAAAATTTGAGGTAAACATCCAAGTGGCGTCTTATTTTACATACTTTCCTCTTAACCTGATGCCTTGTTCCGGGTACAATGTCTATATTTTTGCTAAGATCTATTCTTCGCCTAGTTTTGGACACGAAGCTATACAGCAACTCATCCATGTTGTCATGTAAAAAAAAAAAGATAAGAGAAACCATAGGGATATTGCCCTTTTCCTTGTCTTAACTGTCAACCCAGATCCCCGGTTTTCATCAGCCTTATTGATTCATCTGTCGTCTGTAAACAAACATACACCCACTCTCCTCTCCTTTTTACCGCCTAAAAATAACTTAAAGAAGCAACATATTCATGTATGTGTTTTTTTAGGAGACTGCTGGGAATTTCAAGGAAAGAAAAGAAAAAAAAAATGAGTTCGTGCTGAAAGAAGCCCACATGGGCCGCTCACTAATAAAGACAGTCAGGAAGAGACAATGCACTTTCTGGGACACTAGAATAAACAGAAAAGACTTAAACATCCTGCTCTCACTATAAAAAAACAGAGGACAGGAGTAGACCCAGAGAAACCTACTTGGAAAACTTAAACACACGGCGACGCCGAAAGACTATGATACTCGTAATATTAATATTAGTGAATTAGTGTTTTACAGAGCATCCGAGCGGAGATGTGAATGACGAACCGTGATCGACGGTGTCCGTCTGAAATCTAGCGGCTTATGGTATTGATATGTTTGTACAACGACATCATCATCATCATCAACAACAACAACAACAGCAACAACAACAACAACAACAACAACAACAACAACAACAACAACAACAACAACAACAACAAGAACAATAACAACAGCAGCAGCAGCAACAATAACAACCAAACAACGAAGAGGCATTAACTAATTACAACAACAACATTAACAGTAGCAAGAACAACAGCAGAAGCAGTAGCAGCGACAGAGGCAATTTACAACAACATCATGATCACCACCATCCCCAAAAACAACAACAAGCTAAAAAAAACAACAACACAACATCACTAACTTGTCTAAAGCATATTATAAAAAAGTAGACCTGACAATTGTAGTAATTTGTCCCTGGCGAACACATTTGTTATGACTTGTCCTATTTTTTAAATAAACAATATTGGCAATTTAACAGAGTTGCTTACAGTTCATGAACTCAAACAAAACATCACGAGGCGAACAATGACCTTATCATTATCAGTAAGTTCAGTATCGTGTTTGTAAGTTATTTTCATTCCATTCACTGAAAACACTTGTACCCTACTATAGCCTTTATCTTTAACTTTGTATACCTTTCTTTGAGTACCTTGTCCTAGTCTCAGAATTTACAAACGTAGATAGCCGATACCACCCGCGAAAACAACCCGACTTAGAAAGTAAGATAATGTGTATACAAACACAAGCAAACACACACAAACAAATATACATTCACAACAACAATAACCCAAAAAACAACAACAGACAGGTAGACAGAAGCATGTGTATAACACACACACACACACACACACACACACACACACACACACACACACACACACACACACACACACACACACACACACACACACACATCCAGAGACAGCAACGTTCCCAAATGAATAACCAAAATCTCACCAGTGGAATTTAGATGATTGAATTAACACTGTAGTTCATACGATCGCAATCGTGATTAAACAATTTACAAACTTAATCTATTCTCACTTTACACCACAGCATCGACTTCCTCAGCTCAACATAATTTCTCTTCTAGAGAGAGAGAGAGAGAGAGAGAGAGAGAGAGAGAGAGAGAGAGAATGTGTGTGTGAGAGAGCATACGGGTGGTAGGAAGGCGCTACTGGAATGTCTTATTTCCGTTCTTTGTTTTTGTTGTATGGCTGTCTTACTTTTTCTCAGAGCTAAATGGCCAATAATGTCGATATGCTTCTCTTTAGTAAAACATTATCTAATATAATTGTGCAATATATATCACGACCAGCTGCAAGTGTCAGTTCTCTTTTGTACAGGCAAGTGGAAGGTCAAAGTCAAGTTGAAAAAAAGATCGCCGGCCCTCCCCGTGCACTCAGCCTTTTTACTATTATAAACCTTCAACCCCACACCTCATCCAGTTCTATACGAGATGGGATGGGCTTTTCCTACACTCGTGCAAGATGTTTTTGGGTCCAAAGAACTCGACCTTGCATGGCAATAGCATAATTTTTATAAAGTAAATCTAAACAGTAATACAACGGGACAAATTACGTCACCCATTTATACAAAGTTATAGCGTCTTGGATATACTTATCTGTTTGGAAAGGTATGCAATGTAGTGCAAAGCCCTACTGTATGAATACACCGCACGCTCTGTCTTCCGTCGACGTGTTCTTTAGACTGGGACATTGTTTTGCTCTAAGTCCAGGGTCTCAACCTCAAATATCTGGGTGGTCGATGGAGGTAGAGTTTGGCAGAGCCTGGACGCGTGACGCATTCCACAAAAAAGTTTCTTGGGGTTAATTTTTTAAAGTACGACTCATTTACTATTCTCAATCTTTATCAATAGCAGTTCGGAACATGGACAGTTCTTGACACAATAAGCTTCTCTTACCTACTCTATGCAGCCAGAGACCTTGCAGCGCTTCCTGTTATACAGAGCTCAGCCACAATTGGCTCGCGGAAAGGAGGCAAAAGGGAGCCTCAATATGGCTTAAATTATAGTATGTTCATCACTAAGTTTGGACCTGATTTTTTTTTTACTTATTAAAGTTCATAGTGCAGAAAAGCGTATCACACTGATATGTGCTAACAAAAGGCATACAAGATTCGATTGAGGATCCTAGGAAGCATCCGGAAGATGGCGGGACAATTCTCTTTAAAACATGACCAAACTTGGACCACTCTTTGGTGTCAAGTTGGAGCTGCAAAATATAGTCCCACTGGCCTCAGTTGGAGAGGGGGGGGGGGTGAGTTTGAGATCCCTACTCTAAGTCGTTCATTTCTCTTTAAAATGAAATTTTCTGAACTGGTTTGATATAGCGGTTATGTCAAAGAGAAAATTAAAAAACTACGTATATCAATCGTGGGCGTGTAACATAAGGGAGCGTTGTCATAAAAATCAAAATTACTTTGGTAATTACTTTCTATATTTCACCATTGCGCATTTGATTCCATTTTCCAAAAGAGCGGTGCATCTTGGTTATGTGTCCAGAATGGGGTAGTAATTTTGTTTTTCTAAAATAACTTCTTTGAGAAACGAAACAAAAAGATTCCCATCAGCACATTTATGGATTTTCGAGGACTTTCTAAGGAATTGATCCATCTTGTACAAAGTATCTATAGATACCTGCACTCTTACTGAAATACTCCAAGAGTTTAAAATTATGACTGAGAGGTTCAGGCAACTTTCCTTCACTTAGATATTCCACAATGGTTGCTATCATTTGACTAGGAAAAGGGGAAAAAGTAAGATAAAAACGTTATTTCATATTTGTTGGTTGTTCTACAGACTCATTTTGCAATACATTCGGGTAAGTTAAAATGTTTCTACTGCAAATGTGTTGTTTTGTCATCAACGTGGATTAATTTAGATACCAAAGGCAGTACCTGTTGTTAAAGGGGTGTAACTATGAAAAACGTTGTAACCTTTGGCAAAAGGGAACATTGGTGGTGATTGATATCCCTTTTCTCTGGGTCATTTGACCGGTGCCTTCAAAATACATCCAAAGCATATCATTTTTGTTTTGTAAGTGCTTTACGGGGCTCGCAACTGCACGCGGTCATATGAGCGGGCTTGACACATTAGTAAACATTTTCAGTCCGTTGAAAATTTTGAATTTTGTCCGGGTGGTGGTCGAAGCCTACTCCAATCGATTTTGGACCCCCATGGGATCTTTAACGTGCGCAACTTGCACACAGGACCTCCGAGATTTTTCGCCCTTAACCGAGAAGGTTAGGTGTTAGGACTCACCTACCCTAAGATCAGAGGTGTGGCTTAAAGTTAAGGACAGCAGTAAGAAGGAGTCAGTGAGCAGCAGTAGAAAGGCTGCAGAAAGAGTCTGAGCCAAAAGGAAGGTGTAAAGGAGGTGAGGGGTGGGGACAGAAAGTGGAGACGAAAGCAGACGACAGAACATTGTTAGAGAGCAGGAAAGGAGGTGAAAGGGAAAAAAATAGAGAAGAAAATGTTTCGTCGCTGTTCTGAGTCAAATCGGAGACCTATTAAATGAAAGACGATCACTGTAACGTAACCTCTCGACCACGACAACCCCCGCTCATAAATGTATATTGTGCCTCTTAAGTCAGTTTTACTTTTCTGTTGTTCTATGTTTTTACCTCCTCTCTCATTCACCCTTTATACTCATTCGTCCACTTCCCCTTCCCCTTTTTTCTCCTCCTCTTACTCCTTTTTCTCTTCCTCCTTCTCCTCCTCCTCTTCCTCCTCCTCCCCGCCTCTTTGTTCTCTTTTTTAAAAACCCAACAATGACATACGTGGCCCTGAACCATTTTTTCTTGTTATGTAAATGTGGACAGCGGGTCTTTTTGCTGAGAAAAAAATGTCATCTATAATTTCTTCAAGCAGAAAATGAACATGTATTTTTATCCCAGCTTGGTTATTTGAAACATCAAAATTGTAAGGTTAAAAAAAGCAACGGAGAGACAGAGAAGAGTCTTGCATGTCTTTTCCAATACGCCCACTTGTTGGAAGTGGGATTGCACATAATGATGTGTAAAAAATATTTTATTTGAAACATTTTCAGTAGTGACTCTAAATCCAATTATTATTTTTAAAAAACTATATTGGATGAAAGTAACATAATTTTTGTTGTTGCTATTTTGTTGTTTGTTGTTTACTTGATTTATTATTGAATTTTCAGTGTGGGTGCGCGTGCGCGCGCACGCGCGCGCGCGCGTGTGTGTGTGTGTGTGTGTGTG